TTTGGAAAGCGTCGGGGAACACGGTGGGGGAGGAGGAAGGAGAGGAGAGGGAGGAAGAAGGAGATGGAGGAGGAGGCCTCTTGGGAGCCTCTTGGGCTACTCTAGGGTTTTATTGGGCTATCTTCGCGGTCTTGGAGGCATCGTGGGACTGTTTTGGAAGCCATTTTGGGGCTATAATGGGGCTTCTTGGGGTCATCTTGATCATATTGGACGCATCTTGGAGGCCATCTTCGGCCACGTTGGCCGTCTTGGAGGCGTCTTGGGACCGTCTTGAAGGCCATCTTGTCCGTCTTGGAGGGATCGTTCGTGGACTTTGAGGTCCTGTATGGTCTCTCCGTCGTTGTCGAGAAGAAGCAACTGCCAACATCTGTCAAAACCCTAATGAAAAGCAATGACGTTGGTCTCTTAGGGCCCTGCTGGACGACCTTTTGGAGGCCTCTTGGGCCGTCTTGGGCGCCTCTTGAGGGCCTCTTGGGCCGTCTTAGGCCGTCTTCGATGCATCTTGGGCCGTCTTGGAGGCATCTTGGGGCCATCTCAGCAGTCTTGGAGGCCACCTTGGCCGACTTGAAGGCCTCTTGGGGGCCTTTTGGGACCGCATTGGAGGCCTCTTGGGCCGTCATGGGGCCATCTTTGAGGCCTCGTGGGCCATCTTGGGGCGATCTTGGGGGCCTCTTGGGCCGTCTTCAGCCGTCGGAATGCCGAGAAGAAACACATGCCAAAATCCTTCAAAAACTTATGAACAATCAATGAGTTTGCTCTCTTCGGGTCCTTCTGGAACCTCTTGGAGGCCTCTTGGGCCGTCTTGGAGGATCTTGGGGGTACTTGGAGGCTCTTGGGGGCCTCTTGGGCCGTCTTGGGCAATATTGAAGCTATTTTAGGCCGTCTTGGATGCATTTTGGGCCGTCTTGGAGGCATCTTGGGGCCGTCTCGGCCGTCTTGGAGGCGATCGTGGCCGTCTTGGAGGCCTCTTGGGGCTCTCTTGGGGCCGTCTTGGGTGCCTCTTGGGCCGCTATGGGGCCATCTTGGAGGCCTCGTGGGCGATCTTGGGGGCTTCTTCGGCCGTCTTGAGCCGTCGGAATGCCGAGAAGAAACAAATGCCCAAATCCTTAAAAAACCAATGACATATCAATGATTTGGGCCTCTTCGGGTCCTCCTGGAGGACCTCTTGGAGGCCTCTTGGGTCGTGATGGGCCGTCTTGGAGGCTTCTTGGGCGAGCTTGGAGGTATCTTGGACTCTCTTGGGCCGTCTTGGAGGCCGTGTTGGACCATCTTGAGCGGACTTGGAGGCCATCTTGGACCATCTTGGAGACCATCTTGGGCCAACGTGGCCATATTGGAGGCCATCTTGAACCGTCTCGGAGGATTTTTGGGGGGATTGGGATTCCTTTCGTGTGGCCGGCGGGACGGGCCGAAGCCCCAGGGGGAGTTCTTTTGGAAAAAGAGCCGAAACCAAAATTGAAAGGGTCTAGTACGCCGGGCACCCCTGTGGCAAGCCAACAGGGGGCGGCGGATACTAGACATCTGGCCGCTCCAATTTTTTCGATGCGCGGGTCCCCGAGGTCCAGACCCTTTCTCGTCCTGAGTCGTTCTTTGACGCCCCCGAGGCCCGGTGAGGGCCCCCGGAGGCCGAAACTTGCCAAAATCCCGCCGCTCCAATTTTAGTTGGAGCGTCGGATCTCTGGGATTAGATATCTGAAAGCAATTGAGTTGCAACGAGCAGGGCTTGGGAGCGGCTCGGGCTTTCCGCCCGGCCCCCTGGGTCCCCAGGGGCGGGGGGCCCGTCTGCGGCCGAGGCCGGAGAGAAGCTCCGCCGCTCCTTGTGACTTTTGGCACCGCTCGGACGCGTGCACTGCTTCTCGGCGAAGACCATCGAGGACTGTGATGTTCCAACCTTTTTTTATCTAGGCCTCCTAGATGGGGTCCGAGTAGGTGGGGTCGGAGGATCGCGCATCGCCGATGCATCGCCGATGCGGCTCGATGTCGAGCCCGATTTGCTTCACGTCGACGCCGCCCATGCATCGCCCACGTCGACGATAAATCGTTGGTGCATCGCCAATGTATCGGCGATGCGGCGCGATCCTCCAACCCCATCTACTCCGACCCCATCTGGGAGGCCTCTACTTTAGCCTCGATCGCCAGGAAGAATTCCGAGCACCAAGAAGGTACCCAAACCGAAGAGTCTTCACGTGTCGGGCCCTGGGAGGCGATACTCGTTCGACACTGTCTCGATCCTTTTTCTGGGTGCTCGAAATTAGTTCTGGGATGCTGTCCTGACTCGCAACGGGAGCAGCATGAATCGAGGAGCCTCGTGGGCCACCCTGCGGGGAAAGTGCACGCCCGACGCGCCGAAGAAAAAGGCACGGGGAGGGGGCGCCCGAGCGACAGGGGAGTTCTATTCAACGTCCCTTTGGGGCACCAGGAGGGGCCTGTTCGGCCGGGCCCCTGGGAGGGTTTCTTGCAGGAGGACTTCTCGGAAACTGGGAGGGCGTCTGAGAACCCTGACATGAAGTCGGGTACGTCCCCCTACAAGAGGAGTATTCAAAAATCGTATCAAAACATCTGGGGGCGATTCTTCTATCATTTTTGACCATCTTTGGATATTTGTTGGGGTTTTTTTTCGCCCAAAATCCGCCCGTAGGGGAACAGGCCCGACCTAACCCTGACATCTTCGCGTCGTGACACAAAAAAAAAAAGGACGGTAAGTTGTTACGCATGTTGGCCTCTGGGCGCCCTCATTGGGCCCTGGGCCGTCAAGAAAGGTTTCGGGATTGAGCGTTGGTCCCAAGAAAGGGAGCCAGAGTCACGTTGTGACGAAGAAAAAAACACGGCGTCGGATGTTTCGGAAGGCAGGGGGGCTCCCATAGGTCCTAACGAGAGCCCTGGGGGCTTCTTCCGAGAGGCAGTCTCGGATGCCGGGGCCTCCGAGAAGGCCCCTTGTTTGACAGACAAACCTCATTGAAAACAAAAGAGCCCCTAACCTTAAGTCGGGCCTGTCCCCTCTACAGGGGGAATACAAGTTGTCAGGGGACGATTTTTTGAGTATGTTTGAATATTTGTGGTGTGGTTTTCCATTGTTTCCCCAAATCCGCCAGCACGGGGACAGGCCCGACCTGACCCTAACCCGAATAACACGATGAAGACGTGGCCTCACTTAGGTCTCCGTCTCCGCATCAGAGATAACATATATGGGCGGTCTGGCCCGATACATCTGCGGAAAAGACCCCCTATCCTTTATGCTCCGGCACCTCCCAGCTTAGGTCCCCTCCCGAAGGGTCAGGGACACCTTTACTGTTTGTCAGAACTGTAGCACGAGGACGAGCCACCTCCCGAGGGTGCCCCTGCCTCTCGGCCCATCCTGGCCCGCACGTGTTCCAGTCCTCGGCCGCGGGCCATGGACTTCCAACTTCTGAGGACGGGGAAAAACACTCACAGACACAATTCACCGTCGATCCTCTGGAAAACAATTAGAAACACTTGGGAAGTGGGGGGGAAGACGAAGGCCGCCCTGAACATATGGACAAATATGGGGAATCCTGGGATTCTTGTGTATTTATTTATGTGTCCCTGGGCCCCTTCAACTTCGGCTTCAACCTGGGCGTCCAGGGGCCTCGCATCCTCGCCGCGCATCCTCAGGGCCCGCTCGCGCTGTGCCCCCACATCCGACGGCGTCTTCTGTTAAGTCCGCAGCCCCAGAGGTCCCGAGCTTTTCCCCAGGTCCAGTTTCTCGACCCTCGGAGGAGGAAAAGGTACCCATACCGCTACCCTTCGCTCGTTTTCCTCTCTCTGGGCCTCCTGGGAGGCCCTCGTCGCCACCGCTAGATTCGCCCCGAAATCCTTGTTAGAGCGCACCCCGGGAGAGGTCCGGGGAGTAGCGGTCTGGGATCTTCTGACCCGGGTCAATCCAGATCCGGGTCAGTCAGGCCTCACATAATCTTGCACGATCTTGCACGGTCTTGCACCCAAGCCCCGGTCGATGCGCAGGGACCTGCTAAATCTTGCAGGATCCTGCACCCAAGCCTGGGTCAATGCGACCCTGGCTCTGCAGGATCCTGCAAGATCTGGCGCCCTGGCTGACCCCCGTTTGCATTGACCCCCGTCTCAAGGCTCCCGAAGCGGTATCGGTACCATGTGGTTCCCCCAGGCCCAGGTTGTTTTTGTTCGCAGACGTTGTGTTTTCTTGAAGCGTAGCGCGCCGATGTTGCTCCTCTCCTCCACGGCGGCGTGTCGCTGATACCTCACAGGTCGACCTTGGGGTGATAAGGAGGGTGCATGTGCGGGGGCATTATCCAGACCATGGGCCCGACCCGGGTCCACTTTGATGGCCCCAGGGGGCCCGATGAGGTGGCCCCCCCCGCGCGCCGAGGTCGCGGGGTAGCGCCGGGAGCTGTAAGAGACGCTGCGTCGGAGAGTCGCGTCTGAAGGCCCCTGTGGACGTCCTACTTGGGCTTCCATCTGGGCGTCCAAGGGCCTTCCTCCTCCTCCTCCTCCTCCTCCTCCTCCTCCTCCTCCTCCTCCTCCTCCCTCCTTGTCCTCCTCCTCCTCCTCCTCCTCCTCCTCCCTCCTCCCTTCTCCTCCTCCTTCTCCTCCTTCCTCCTCCTCCTCCTTCTCGGCAAGGGGTAGTCCGTGACACAGCCAGCCTGGATCACTCCTCGGCGGCGAGCGAGGGGGGGGAAATGAGAAGGCGAAGGCCTTCTCAGAAGGCGGCGGGACCTCTCAGAAGCCGTCGCGCCTTCTGAGGTTTTGTTTTGCGTCTTCGGGGGAGGCTTAGAACACCTGTCAGAAGGACAGGAAACTTCCGAGCCTTGTGAGAAGGCCCGCCCCTTCTCACTTCTCCCCCGAGCGCGCCGCCTTTTCGGGCGACCGAAGCTCCAGGACGGCCCCAATGGACCCCACGATCGCCCCAAGACGGCCCAACATGCCCCAAAGAGGCCCGCAAGACGGCCCAAGAGGGCCACAAGACGGCCCAAGAGGCCCCCAAGAGGCCCCCCAGATGGTCCGTAACCATTTTGGCTGGAGTCGTCCACGGGGACAGAACGCGACATTACCCTCGCATAGTGCCCGTGCTGAATCATGACCGAAATAGGGACCGGCAGCGCCTCGCTGGGTTCAGTACGTCGACGTTCGACAACCGGTGAATTGGACCGACGTCACGGTACCGTATTCCAACTACAATTGCATGATTCACCGGTCACAACCAGGTCATTTGCAGAACAAGTTTCAAGTTCAGACGGCTCAGACGACGATCCATCGAATCAGGACCATGCGGGGTCCGTCATATGCACACTTAACGACTGCAATGATGAGAATATCGGAGACTATGCGGAGACCGATGCGGATTCCGACGACATTGCCAAAATTAATGGTTTTGACGTATTCGACGCGTTCGAGATCAAGAAGTTGACGGAGTTAAACACCAGCACGCGCTTCAGCAATTATGGACGAGTCATGGTTGTAGCTTTGAGCAGCATGTTCTCAGCGTCCTTCTTGATCCACGGGCTGCTGGTTCCGGAGAGCTGGAACCCAAGGTACTTCGCACTGCCAGAATATGAGGACAAGCCTAAGTTTCTGGAGTGGTTGGAAGATGGCGCTGCGGGGTGCATTTACTTCGCGCTTGGCGTGATCCTCCCCATGCTGACGAGACATAGGCACGTTCAGTTGGAGCGGACGCTAAGCGTTGCACACCGCTACGAAGTTGACCTGAATCCTGGTAATGCGAACATGTTCCTCGCCTATGTTCTGTGGCCGGTTACTTTCGTATTGGGTATGCTTGCGCCCGTACTAATTTGGTTGCCCCGATTTTACGGAAATGACATTGAGAAGAAAATACATATTGGCTTTTGGACTGAGGTCAGCATCTTCACTTGGTCCATCAACATGCTCTTCATTGGACCTTCCAGGGTGGAAGAGATCGGAACACGAGCCATAGAAGGAATTATCGATGGGGTCGTTAAGGAGATGGACAACATGAGAACCGAGAACATCTGTTGGGAAAGGATGCTGAACAAATTAAAGGCGACCGATTACTTGCTGGCGGACACCTTCCAGTGGAGTTGCCTCGGGAAATTGATAGTCGGTCGTGTCTCAATGCTCTTCTTTCTCGCAGCGGGATTCGGTTCTGTCGGAATTGTCCACAACAATAAAACTACTAGGAAGGGCGCAATACTTTGCGGTCTGATGTCAGCGATTTGTGGCTGTGCTATTTTAGCCCGTTTAGCACTCGTCAGCCAGAAGTGCAGAAACACAAGGCCTGGATCACGTCACCTTGCGGCAGTATTGATTCAGAAAATGGCTGCGCACAAGTTCGACAAAGAAAAGAAGAAGGATGAAGAACAAAAGAAGAAGGATGAAGAACACTGGGATGCTTTCCGCCAGTTGTCGCTCTACATCAGAGAAAGAACGCTGGGTGTAGAGTTGCTGGGCACACGAATAACACCCGAGATGGTAGGAAACGTTGCATTACGAACCTGCTTCTACCTGCCAGCTGGAGTCACTGTCGTCGAAGGCGTATGGAACAAGGGCAAAATCGATGCTTAGAGCCAGGGCCCTCACGAACATTGGTGACTCCCGCGCTCGCTGTCTGCTCAAAAGTGCTTTCCGGCCACGGGGGCGCAGGCGGCGAAGCCCCCGCGCCACACCGCGCACGACGCCGCACGGGGAGATTTTTCCGCGCGGGTGCCCATGCACCCGCTCCTCCGTCGCCTTCTGCACAGTGTAGGCCCGTGCCAGGAAGCACCCTGCTTGCCTCCAGGGTGCCCTGGGTTTCTTGGGCTTCGCTGGTTTTGCCGTGGAAAGCGCGACATCCCCACACCAAGAGTCGAGGGACGTCATGGGCTCTCAGGGCTGGGTTTCTGGTGGAAGGCTTCTTCTCCTCCTCCTCCTCCTGAATGTACCCGTTCCTGGGTCGCGCTCTGCAGGTGCTGATTCTCTGACTCGGCCTGTGTGGTCGGACGCCACCGCCGTTCTCTCTGACCCACCTGCGCCCTGGACCGCGATCTGGGACTCCACCCCGTAGCTCTCGCATTTTGAAAGGCCGACGGGGCAGTGGCTCGGGCAAGAAGCTTACTGCGCACCGCGCTTCGCGGCCTGGTCCGTGCACACAATTACCCTCTGCCAGGGTTGCGGCTCCAATAAATTGCATTCGCGCTTGCGGCGCCTGCGACGAGTGATGTTAAGGTTAGGTTCACCACGCAGGCTTATGCTTGCAAGGTGGTCGAACCGCACTTGCATATAGCTTCTGTATCACATTGGGGGGCTTGTGCATTAGGGCAGCCTCGGAACCTCGGGGGCCCTGTGACAAGAGCTCATGTCCAGCAGCGTCGCCCGCTTTTTTCGGGTAAACTCACCTGGCCTACGTGCCAGCATGTTTCGCCTCTTTGGGCCCTCACCCCGGGCTGCCCCAAAGAGGGCGAGCGGCGGAACCCGGCTCGTAATCAAGATTTTGCCCCCAGTGGTTTTGTTTTCCCACAGCCCGTCCTTTCCCGGACTGGTTGGGCGAAGTGAGAGCCACTGAAAAAAAGAGGCCCCCGAGACGGCCCGAAGAGGAGCCCAAGAGGGCCCAAAGATGGTGAACTCGGATTGTCATTCCGAGCGTCCGCGTCCAGCGCACAACCTGCTGGATTAAAAAGTGCGACCGGAGAGGTCGCGCAACATGTGCGACGATCATCCCGTTAGGCCCTGGGGCCCGGGTACAATGTTGCAGAGACCAGCCCAGGGATTCGATTCGGTCGCTCAAGAAGGTGACTGGAGAGTGTCTTTTGGAGGAAGTACTCGGCGGGATCGCGATTCTCCGGTTCCTCCATCCTCGCTTCTGATATGAGAATCGCCAAATAGTGTGAGGACCAGAGAATTGCGATTCCGCCCAATATTTCCTCCAAAAGAAAACTCTGCGGTCGCTTTTCACAGCAACCTGAGAATTTCTTTGGCGATTTCGCCTAGGACTTCCTCGGACAAACCCTGAGCATCTGGAGCCCGTAGAAAACTAAGTTCTGGTCCAATCTGTGAACCAGCCTTTAGGAGCGCAGATCTTAGTTCTCCTTTCTGAAAAGAAATAGACTCTCCCCCCCCCGGCGTTATCCGCCCCCCTTTCGGGTACGTAAATCATATGTGATTATGACCACATGTCCATCCTAAATATGAATTTACACTATCCCAGGGGGGCCGGTGTCGGTTCCCCTGAGGTTCCCTGATAAAAACAATACGCGGGGGGCAGTTCTGGTTCTAACATGAGACTTTATCGCGAATCCCTTGCAAAACATGGGACGAAGTGCACGCGCGCGCCGTCGCGCGCGCATGCCGAAATCTTCCAAAAACCTTCGGTGCCGGAAGGATTCCGCAATCGAGCTTCCAAAAAAACATACAAACACACAGGGTTTCGCAATACTGATTTGCTAGTAAGCTTACGCGCGAGTTTTTGCGAAATCTTAAGACAACCATAGGTTTTTCAAGATTTTCACAACATGATACCAAACGGGCTTCGCGCGCGCATGTCGAAATCTGTCGAACGCCCTTGCGCGTGTGCCGTCGCGAGAATCCTCTGCACAAAACGGGACGAAGTGCAGACGCGCGCGTCGTCGCGTGCGTATGCCGAAATCCTTCCAAACCCATCGGTTTCGGAAGGATTTCAAAATCGTGTGTTCACACACATACAGAAACACAAGGTTTCGCAACACGGATTTTCAACAAAAGCGTGCTGCGCGTGCGCTCTTGCGTCGTCGTCGTCGTCGTCGTCGTCGTCGTCGCCGTCCTCCCTCCTCCCGCGTCGTCGTCGTCGTCGTCGCCTACGTCGTCCTCTGTCTTTTCTCGTGTTCGTCGTCGTCGTCCTCCTTGGCGCCGTGGTCGTTTCCGTCGTCGTCGTCGTCCGTCGTCGGCGTCTCGTCGTCGTCCCTCCTATTTCGTCGCCGTCGCCGTCGTCGTTGTCGTCGTCGTTGTAGTCGTCGTCGTCGTCTTCCCTCCTCCCTCGTCGTTGTCGTCGTTGGCGTCGCCGTCCTTCCTCCTTCTTCGTCGTTCGCGTCGTCGCCGTCCTCCTCCCTCGTCGTTGTCGTTGTCGTCGTTGTCGCCGTCGTCGTCCTCCCTCCTCCCTCGTCGTCGTCTTCGTTGGCGACGTCGTCGTCGTCTTCGTCTTCGTCGTCGTCGTTGGCGTCGGCGTCGTCGTCGTCTTCGTCGTCGTCGTCGACGTCGGCGTCGTCGTCGTCGCCGCCGTCGTCGTCGTCGTCGTCGTCGTCGGCGTCGTTGACGTCGTCGTCGTCGTCGTCGTCGTCGTTGACGTCGTCGTCGGCGTCGTCATCGTCTTCGTTGTCGTCGTCGTCGTCGTCGGCGTCGGCATCGTCGTCGTCGTCGGTGTCGTCGTCGTCGTCGTTGCCGGCGTCGTCGAAGTCGGTGGAGACGTCGTCGGTATCGTCATAGTCGTTGTCGGCGGCGTCGTCGTCGTCGTCGTTGTCGCTGTCGTCGTCGGCGTCGCTGTCGTTGCCAAGTGCCATTTGGTACCCACCGTCACGGTCTTAAGAGATTTTGCAAACCAAGTTTCGGGTGGGTGGGTGGGATGTTTGCGCGAGCAGTGGGGTGGACATTTCGTTGCGAACAGGAATTATCTCAACCCATAGGTTCGCCCTTACTTTGTCCCTTAGTTTTGCCCCTAGATCGGCCCTTATACTGGCCCCTAGATTGGCCTTTGGTTTGAACCTTTGTTTAGTGAATGGGCGTTCCTTCTCAAGCACCTACGGCAACTCTTGTATCACACTACTCTTGTGTCGATGGATACGTTGTGCATGTGCAAGTCGACTTTTCTTAGGCTACCACTATTACGGCCACTATCCGATATCACGCTTACAATTCTCAGTGGCATATTTGCATCAGTTATTCACGCATGTGTGTATGGCCCACTACATCACATTCGTGTTTCAAACACTATTCCAGCTAACACTCCGAATCGTTGTGCTACTGTTGTTATTTGTCACGTCCCCTCATCTAGCACTACTCGTTTTCCTTGCTCCTCCTCCTCCCTCCTCGGGCTCTGCCTTGTCGTTTTCGAGGGACGGGGGGTCGGTTGCTCGGGACCTTTGGTGCCTCGTGGCAGCGGGGCGGCGGCGGGGGCGAGGCCCTGTGACTGAACATCGTTGCGATTCGGTTGTTCGTGGCGCTTGGCACTCTCGCGGCAGTGGCGCTGCGGTGGGGGCGAAGCTTTGTGACGGAACATCGGTGCGATTCGGTCGTTCGTGGCTTTTGGCACTTCGCGGCAGTTTGGCGGCGGTGGGGGCGAAGCTTTGTGACGGAACATCGTTGCGATTCGGTCGTTCGTGGTTTGTGGCGCCCTCGCGGCAGTTTGGCGGCGGTGGGGGCGAAGCTTTGTGACGGAACATCGGTGCGATTCGGTCGTTCGTGGTTTGTGGCGCCCTCGCGGCAGTTTGGCGGCGGTGGGGGCGAAGCTTTGTGACGGAACATCGGTGCGATTCGGTCGTTCGTGGTTTGTGGCGCCTTCGCGGCAGTGGGGCGGCGGTGGGGGCGAAGCTTTGTGACGGGACACCATTGCGAGTCGGTTGCTCTTGGCTTTTGGCACTTCGCGGCATTGGGGCGGCGGCGGGGGCGAAGCTTTGTGATGGAACGTCGCTGCAATTCGGTTGCTCGTGGTTTGTGGCGCCCTCGCTGCACTGGGGCGGCGGTGGGAACGAAGCCTTGTGACGGAACGTCGCTGCGATTCGGTTGTTCGTGGCTTTTGGCACCCTCGGCAGCGGGGCGGTGGTGGGGGCGAAGCATTGTGACGACACGGTTGCTCGTGGCCTTTGGCGTTTCTGCGGTATCGGGGCGAGGGCGGAGCAAAGCCGTGTGACGAGGCAGGGCGATGGGGATTCGTAGATTGTGGCGCCCTCGTGCCAGCAAAGCTTCAGCGGTCAAACACCGCGTGGGCTCTCAACGAGGTGGAGGAGGTGAGCGAGGAGGAGGAGGACGATGGTGAGGAGAGGGACGAGGAGGAGGAGGATGAGGAGGAGGAAGCAGAGGAAGATGAGTACGGGGAGGGACGGGGGTGACGAAGATGCGCGGACAGAGGAGGACAATGAGGATATTGAGTTTGGTGGGTGAGGGGTGGAAGGGGTGATGACGATGATGGTGATGATGATGACGATGATGATGGTGATGATGATGGTGATGATGAGTGTTGATGATGTTGATGATGATGATGCTGGTGAAGATGAGTAGTATGATGATGACGACGACGATGATGGTGTTGATGGTGATGCCGATGTTGATGCTATTTCAATTTAATCGCTTCGCTCATTCCGCCGGCCCATGATGAGGCACCGCGGTCGATTGGGCGAGAGGTCGTCGGCAGTGCGGAACTGCAGGGGTCGGCGCATGTTTTTTTTCTGAGGCGTTGCGTTCGGGATGGTGGTGTTGAAGCTGCCCCCGCGAAACAGCTTGCGGAGGCTTTGGGCGGGGATTGCGGAGCTTCAGGGTGCGAGGTGGAGGAGGCGAGAAGGAGGAGGTGCCGTTTGGCAGGCCTTTTGGGATCGTCTGAGGCCGTTCGGAGGCCTCTGAGAGCTTTCTGGGGCCTCCTGGGAGCCTCTTGGCGGCATCTTGGGCCTCTTGGGGGCCTCCCGGGGCGTCCTGGGGCCCTCTTGGGGCAGAAAGCTAAAGTTTTCGGTTCGTGGTCCCTCTCTTGGCCCCTCTTGGGGCCGTCTTGGGGCTCTCTTGGGCCGTCTTGGTGCCTCTTGGGCCGTCTCGGGGCCTTCTTGGGCCGTCTTGGGGCCTTCTTGGAGGCCTCTTGGGCCGTCTTGGGGCGCTCTTGGGGGCCTCTCAGGTCGTCTTGGAGCGTCGGAAAGGCGAAAAGGCGAGGAAGCCAAATACCTTCAAAAACTTAAGAGAATCACTGATTTGTGCCTCTTGGGGCTCCGTTTTGGAGCGTTTTGGGGTCTCTTTCGGGCCTCTTGGCGCCTCTGGGGGCCTCTTGGGGGCCTCTTGGGGCGTCCTGGACGCCTCTTGGAGCGGAAGGCTCGGTTTTTCGGTTCGTGGCCTCCATCTTGGGTTTCTCTTTTGGCCTTCTTGGGCCGTCTTGGGAGCCTTTTGGGCTGTCTTGAAGCCCTCTTGGGCGGTCTTGGGGCTCTCTTGGGGGCCGTTTGGGCCGTTTTGGGGTGGTCTTGGGGGCTTCTTGGGGGCCTCTTGGGACGTCTTGGAGCGTCGGAAACGCGAAAAGGCGAGGAAGCCAAAAACCTTCAGAAACCTAATGGAAATCACTGAGTTTTGCCTCTTGGGGCTCCGTTTTGGAGCCTTTGGGGGTCTCTTTCGGGCCTCTTGGCGCCTCTTAGGGCCTCTTGGGGCGTCCTGGAGGCCTCTTGGAGCGGAAGGCTCGGATTCTCGGTTGGTGGTCTCCATCTTTGGGCCCCTCTTGGGGCCCTCTTGGGCGCCTTTTAGGCTGTCTTGGGGCCCTCTTGGGCGGTCTTGGGGCTCTCTTGGGGGCCTCTTGGGCCGTCTTGGGGTGGTCTTGGGGGCCTCTCAGGTCGTCTTGGAGCGTCGGAAAGGCGAAAAGGCGAGGAAGGCAAAAACCTTCATAGGAGTGTTTGCACGTTATTGTCTGGGCCGCTCCATGGCTTTTGATTTTTCTCAAGTGCATGAGCGGGGCTGGGC